AAGCTGGTAGTTGTATCTGCACACGTTGTCCACTTGCGGCCCGCTCCCGCTCCAGGAAGTCCTTCTGGCCGTTCCAGTACTCGGCCTCCGGCCGCCCCAGCGGGGTCAGCGCGCGGAACTCCCCCACTTCGCTGTCATAGCGCACGTACTCCTCCAGGTTGTAGAGGTGTCTGACCACCAGCCGCGCGCGCTGCGTCCCGTTGGTGAAGTAGCAGAGGGCCTTAAACTGGAGCACAAAGTCCCCTGCGGGAGCCGCCCTTCAGGCCTCAACCCTGGGCCAGAGCAGCTGGTGCGCCTGGGGACAGGCTTGCAGCCCCACCAGACCCAGCCTCGGCCCCACCCTGCGCCCCTGCCCAACCCTCAGGAGGCTCCTCCTCCCCCTCCCCACCCTGCCAAGGCCATAGAAACTGCCCGCCTAGAGGGAGGGGACAGAGTCTCCTGGACGCCCTGGGCCTGGATCCCGCCTGAGCCTGACACCAGTTGGGCCCGCAGTCTGAGATCTCACATCCAGGCCCCGCCTCAGAGCAGTCAGGACGCCCGCCCCTGAGGTCACATTTCCCAGGGAATCCGGAACCTCAGAGACCAGGGTCCACAGGCCAGAGTCCAGGGAGCAATGACAGAAACCCCGGAACACAGCGTCCTCGCCCCACAGGCTTGCTCTAGCTCCTCCTCCTGGCACAGACCTTCCCCCCAACAGTGCTGTCCCAGGGACCCACCCCTCCAACCCCAGAAAGGGAGCTCATCATGGAAAGGGCACAGGCTTCCCAGTTAGATCAGCTCCATCCCAGGGGGACTGTGCCAACCGCCAGCTCGGGCGGTTGCTCAGAGCACCCATAGCACCAGGACGCCTACACCAGGGGTGGCAGGAAGACTGACAGAGTTTACATGAAGACAGAATCCTGTCTGAAATAAATGGCTTCTCAGCATGTCATCCCCTCTCCACTTTCCCTTTCTCTTCAGTTCCCTCCACCATCAACTCAGGACCCATCCCACCCCCTCACTGTGTGATCCTAAGTCTCTGGGAGGAAGCTGAGCCCCTGCCTGTGGCACCAGGTCAGCTGCCCAGATGCCAGGGTTTGCTGTGAGCCCTCCGCTCAGACTCAGGGATGGAGAGCCCTTTCCCCCAAATCTGACACCACAGACCTGCCACACACATCTCCCCAACCAGAGCCCCTTAGTCTTTAATCAGACAAGGTCTTGGGGACAAGTCCTGCTGTCTCCTCTTTGGAAACATTCTATCTTCAAAAATAACCATTTTCCTGTCACTGGCAGTGGCCAGTCTCCGCCCTCCCATTGGGACATCCCCAGGCTGGAGCCCCTGAGATGGCCATGTCCTCACCTTGTCACCAGAAGGTGGACATGAGAACATAGCAGCTCCCTTTCCCAAAGAGGAAATGCTGATCACAGACTATTCTCAGGTCATAGCCCCCCACGCCCCAGACAAGGGTCCCTCAGAGCCCACCCCGGGCTGGCCACAGAGCAGCTGCCCTGCACTCACGTGGAGAGTCTCCGCCCTCAGCCACTGGGACACTCAGCGCCACCAGCCACACCATCACAGCTGCTGTCCAGGGGCCTCCGGGGGGCCACAGAGTCGGCTTCCCAGACATAATGGAAAACAAAGGAAGAAGTAAAGGGAGTGAGCCGGGCTCCACCTGATGGCTGATGCAGCCACTTCAGAGAATAGAAACCTGTGAGAGTGGCCACTCAAGGTCCGACTGGAGAGACCGAGGAAAGGGGCCAATCAGCACTGGAGCTGACCCACCTCATCTGTCTCCGGGCAGATGCTTTCTATGAAGGTTCGTCAGCCAGTGCCTGGAACCCAGCCTTCATCGAATTGCTCTGGATGAACATTTGAAGACTTTTCTTAGTTATAGAAGGTGAATGCCTTGGGAATTAAAGAACCAAGAGAGAAAGGTGATTCAAGAGTGGACATCTTTGTGACATTTAGTTAAAACTGTTCTTACACATGAGATTTTTAGGAGGGAAATAAGTGGGGATCATGTATCAGGGAGAGAAAATCATTGTCAGGAGGTGCTCCCTTCTATTATCTAAAACACTCCAGGAGCCTGAAGCCGGGGTGGGAAGAGCAGAGCCGTGAGAGGAATGGTTTTGAGCTGCAGCTCTACTTCGAATGCGCTTTATGAGACAACAAGTTATCAACCTCTTTTAGCCTCAGGCTTCTCTTTGGAAAATGTGGATTATGTTTCATGCATTTTACATCTGCACCTTCATACACACACACTTACTAGCCACACAGCCCAGGAATATGACTGCTTTAACAGTGCAGTGTTCCGCTCTGCTGCATGTGTAGCTGTTGGGAATATCACACACAAAATGACACAAGCCCTGCTGGCCAGTGAGTCTTCCTTATGAGAGAATCTCCTACATTGGTGCTCTTTGAATGAAAGTATTTGAAAGTTAAGTTGATTTTTCTTTTTCTTGTTTGTTTGCTTGTTTGTTTGATTCAGCCTATTGCAAGCTCTTAAAACTCTCCATGTGAGGTTTTCTCAGCCTGCCATTGGGGCCGGCCACAAGAGCTGGGGTTTAATGGCCGTGAGAGTATCTGAAGACTAAGGAAAGGTGAGAACATCCCTCACTTCTCCAGTGGGATATTCTGAGGTGGGTTCTACATTGAGGTTGACTTTTCTCTTCTAAGCTCTTCGGCTGCTTCAGTCCTCCCTAGTCCATCTGATGTCACAAAGGCACAACCACAAACATTCATATCAACAGGACACAGGCACCTGTAGCTCCAGGCCAGAGAGCAAAGACGTGGAGAAGCACCCTGGGGCCTGCACAGTGTGACTGAGGGAGCAGGTGTTCACACTCACAGCTCATGCTGTGTGGCCCTTGAGCATCAAACCCATAGGCAGAACTACTGATGTGGTTTTTAATAAATGTATTATTCCTCAGGCTCCTCTTGCTCATGACTAGGGGTAGTACTGAACAGCTATTGAGCAATTAAGACAATGTCTGGCAAACATTAATAAACAAGATAAGTCTCTCTCTCTCCTACATTTTAGGTTCTCCTTTTAAATTTGAGGACAGGATCTGAATGCAGAATATAAGCAGTTTACCAGGTACAAGAAGCAGGGAGGAGGCAACAATAAGGAGTCGTGTTAGTGGCATGTGGAGGCCGTGAGCTGGTTCTGATTTCTCTGTTGGGTGCATCTCTCTGGAGCCCCTGAGCCAAGGGATCAGCCCTGGGCTCCGACCAGCAGTGGTGGGTCAGGGTCAGGGTCACTCCAGAGTCAGGGTGGAAGCATAGGGGAGGAACATCCAACTCAGACCTAGAATGGGGCTGGGGGACAAGGAAGAATAGGCAGAGAGGGAACTTGAAGGTGCCTCAGTGCCCTAAGCCCCCACGTCAGGGTCCCTCAAAATCAGCAGAGGCCTCTGACCCATCATCTGCCTCCAGTCGTAGGGGAGAAATTCCATCAGTTCTGCTCTGGGCCGTGCACTCGGTTCTGTTCTGGGCAGTGCACTCGGTTCTGCTCTGGGCTGTGTACTTGGTTCTGCTCTGGGCCATACACTTTATTCTTTTCTGGAATGTGCGATCAGTTCTGTTCTGGGCAGTGCACTCGGTTCTGTTCTGGGCTGTGCACTCGGTTCTGATCTGGGCTGTGCACTCGGACCTGTTCTGGGTTGTGTAACCAGTTCTGTTGTGGGCCGTGCAGTTGGTTCTGCTCTGAGCTGTGTGGTCTATTTGTTCTGGGTTGTGCACTTGGTTCTGCTCTGGGCCATGCAATCTGTTCCTATTTGGGCCATGTACTCGGTTCTGCCCTGAATCATATACTTGGTTCTGCGCTGGGCCGTGCACTCAGTTCTGATCTGGGCTGTGCACTCCATTCTGCTCTGGGCTGTGCAGTGGAGGCTGTGTCAGACCTGGGGATTCCTGGGCCTCACAGGACTCTTAGCACAGACTTCTCTACTATCAACAGGGTTGTCAGCTTAGACTCCTTTTTCTGATTGGCTAAAATCTCATCTGAAAGGTTTGGTTTGGACTTCTGCTAACTGCTTCCCTGACCCAGTCAGCATTCTCTACATTTTCTGGATTTTTCTGCACTGTCCCCATCCTGGAGACAATACTCAGGGCAGCTGCTGCTGGCCTGGCTTGGTCTGGGAGGAAGGCAACATCCTGATTCCAGCACCTCAACTGAACCACCTGGCAGGGCGTGGGTAGATGTTGCGATGAAGAAGCAGCTGTTAATATGAGTCCAAGTTATGGTAGGAAGACTCCCCAGGGACGTCCTCTGTTCCCTCTGGTGGAAGCTTAAGCTTGGGGACTCATTCCTGGTGGAAATTCAGGGAGAACCCACCTTCCCTGGAATCCTTGGAATCTGCACTGGTCAGTGGGGTTCATCGCAAACATAGAAACCATCTGTCACCAGAAGTGCCATCCAGGACCCATTATGCAATCACTGCAGGAGCCAAGAAACATTGTTCATTTTAAAGGGTCTGTGGCCTCCTTAAGGCCAGCAGTAATATAGAAATACTATCCCCAGAATACTATTTCCCTTTAATAAAAATTCATCAAGCATTTATTCCTAAACTAGAGGCCCGGTGCATGAAATTAGTGCATGGGTAGGGTCCCTAGGCCTGGCCTGCAATCAAGGCCAATCAGATTCCCCACCTCCCGGTCTCTTCCTTCCCTCGCTCCCTCAGCACCACCCCCTCATGGTCTGTGCACGTCATAGCGAGCGATCAGACTCTCGTTCTCTTGGTGGAACTCCCGAGAAGACACTTTGCATATTAGCCCTCTATATATAAAGATCTTCCTAAATCTTATAGAGCTACTCACATATGACCCCTTATGAGCCCTTAGTTAACCAGTTATATGCATTTCCCATGACACATATAAAGTACGTCCTTTCTCCACACAACCTATCTCTTTAAAATCACATTTTAGAGAATCTGAAGAGTCAAATTAGTAACACAGTGACCATGGATAAACCTTTCACCACAAAAGACTTAGGTTTCCCTCATCTGTAGTTGGAACACACACCTCACAGGACAGTCATGAGAGCAGACATACCTGTAAGAGTCCCCACGATCCGTGCTGAGCCACATGCATGTTAGTTTGGACGTAATGTATGGGTTCATCTTTGTTGACATCACTAACAAAGACAGAGAAGTCTTCTTGTTATTTCTCATTTCTATTCACATGTTGGAATTTCTATTATTTTTAATCCCTGCTACTTATCCAGTCATTACGGAGAGAAAGGTTGGGGGAGAACATTAGATGCATTTGACCATGAACCCCCTGCCTTTCCCTCTGAAGTGCCAACACAGAACTGCTAGTTAATCACAACTTCAGTTCTCAGCGCCTGGTCCTCCTCTCACTGGGCTCACAAAGGTGGAAACCTGAGTACAAAACACAGAGTCACACACAAATCAATGAGAGAAGAACAAAGTGAGTGCAGCTTTGTGAGCTACATGGCCTAGGAGGACAGGCTTCACCCATCTTCACTGGATTTAGAGGAAGAGGGACTGACCGCTCCTCACTGTAGCTGCTGCCACATGTCTAAGAGCCCTGTCCCGGCTGCAGGCTGAGTGCCCTGCACTCCCCACCCATGGTCAGGGTCCCAGGCAGCTCAGTTCTGACACCTCTATGCAGTCTTGTTTCCTGTAGTTCTGTCCCCCTCCCTGAAACCCAGCAGATCCCAGACGGTGGGTACTGTACAATGTTTTTATAACCTTACAGAGTGAAGGTCCTGGGTTTTGGGGATGAAAATATAAGTATTCTCCCTTCTAGGAATTCACACACGGAAGGGGAGACTCAAGTGGGAAAAAATGAAAGAAAAAAATTTCACAACAGCCACTAAGGGGACTGGCATACACACTGACTAAAGACAATGTTGAAGGTTCAGAACACAAAACTATGAACTGGTCATGGTGGCTGTTGGTTCAGTTACTTTCTTTTCTCTTAGAATGGGCTGGCAACATAGGGCCAGAGGATGATGGTTATTTGTGGATTAATTCATGAATACCTTTTCAAGATGAGGAGGACAGGGAGTCGACGGTGTAGAGGTCACGGCGGGACTGAGACAGACTTCCAGGTGCCCTTCTCAGAGGTGATGGCTCAGAGATAAAGGGCCTTTCCAGGCAAGAACACTTAGTGGGGTTTAGACAGGGACGTTTGGCAAGGATTGGGAGTTGGGGAGGGCACTCACATCATGTGGTTTAGTATGATTAGAGGGTGGGATTCAGGTGTATGGGTCTTTGCTAGGTTTGACAACAGCACAATTGAAAGTCACCTGACTTTTCTTCACAGTATGACAAAACAGAGATGATTTAAGCAGAGGAGTACCATGACAACTTTTCTGATCATAAAGCCACATGGAAGCAGTGTGGAGGAGCTGCTAGGTCTCTTTATGTGATGCAAAAGGATCCAGGTGCACTGGAGGACCCAAAACCACCAAAAACCGGTTTACTAAGGAACCAATTTGCCAATGACCAGTTTGCTAAATTTACTAAAATTATTAATGTACTCAAAACTCATTTCTTTTTTTATATTTTTAAAAATATGTTAAGCCGTAGTTGATGGTTTAGAAATGAATTAGAGGGCTGTGAATCACAGCCTTCCCAGTGCCTGGGCCCTCCTGCCCCGCCCCCTCCACTCCCCATCCCCCATGGTCTCACTCTCGAGGACTCTGCTCCATCTTTCTGGCAACAAGCAGTGCAGGTTCCATGA